CCCATCTCTGTTCGTGAGGTGAGGGAGGAGAGGGGAACAACGACGCTTGCTGGCGACTCAGAGTCGTCAACGACGAGGCTGTGAGGTGAGGGAGGGGAGGGGTCTAATCAATGGCGGTGGTGGTCGAAGGTCGTCGGCTGGGCATGGAGGGGAGCAGCGACCGGTGGGATGGGATAGAGTTGGAGAGGTTGGAATAGGTTAAGATTTTGAAAAGTAAAAAGGGTAAAACAGTACATATTATTATAACTATGGGCGGCAAATAGTAATCTTACGGGCGTCAAATAGCAGTTCATAAAATTAAAGAAGCAACTTGGAACTTCCCCATTTGTACTTGGAGGAGTGTGAGAGACACTAATAAATAGTAACTCACAACCTAGGCTTTTCTATATTATTATTATAAATTAATAAGTGAATCTCAGCTCTTTCATCTTATTAAAATCCAATATCTCTAATTAATCTTATTTAATAAATGACAATGTTGTAATTACATGATCTATTTATTGATTGATTAAAACAAAAATAAAAATTGGGCCTACTCCTCCTTCTACTCATGTGCTTGCCCGGAGAGGGAGATGATTATTCGTCATCGGCGAATTTTGTTATGTTATGTGATTTTGTAATGTTTGGAAGTATGTTTTTTGATTTTGTATCAATTCGGTTTGCATCGTTTATCATTCTAGTTTGTCATTTTTATCTATTATGTTTGTAATGTCTATATATGACTAATTTGTACACATTGTAATTTGTAATGTTTGTTTGTCTAGTTTGTACACTTTATGTTGTGATTTGTGTACTTTGTATTCATTGATTTGTAATACAAGGTTACTGTTTTTGTATTGTAAGTAGTGACATATGTTTTGTAATGTTTGTCGGTCTAGTTTGTATTGTTTGTATAATTCGTATTGTTTGTAAATATGTTTGTAAGTTTTGTCACTCTAATTTGTATTGTTCGTATGTTCGTATGGTTTGTACTGTTTGTAAGTCCGGTTTGTATACTTCATAAAATTTTATAATACCCAAACTACCCCTGTCATTAATTAAAAAGTTTTTACCACTTTTTAACCGTTAGATTGGTGTGTCCAAATCTAAGGGCTGGAAGGGGCTTAGCCAACTGATGAGTTGCACTCGACAATGCAGGTCTGGCCAAGACACGGCTTCTCACAGGCAGCTTCCATCTCACAGGCAGCTTCCATGTCACTCGATGAGTTGTTGTTGCTAGTCAAATGGTGAAAATTCTGGAAAATCACAGCAAGTTAGGGCTGTGATCATTAGAGCAGGTGGCTCTTCCATAATAAGGTACTTTAGCGACGATTGGAAGCCTTTAACGGTGGTCAAAACTGTTGCTAAATAATTTAATTCATTTCTGAAATATATCTTTAACGACAGTTTGCTGGAATTTTGTGACAGTTTTCGCCGTCGTTAAAATTTGTCGACGATCAACGCGACGGTCGACCCAAACCGTCAGTAAAGAATTTAAGGACTGCGGGGTCAACGACGTTTGGTTGTCTGTCAGTAAATATTTTAGCGACGGTTTGGACCATCACTAAAAGCCTCGTATAACCGCCGCTAAAACACTTTTATGTTGTAGTGGCTTATGTTCCTTTTTCTTGGGTTTTATTCCAAAAGATTGAGATGGATGAGTGTGTTGTAGGTTGGGAATATGGTCTCGGCGTTTCGGCCAAATTGGAAACCGAACCGTATAAGCTTGTTTGGCTGAAAGTGGAAATCAGATTGCATACGATCTGGTTTGGTTTCTAGTCCTAATGGGGGACAAAAAAATCGAGCGATCCAATTCGGTTAAATTTGGCTACTAAACACAGACATGAATCGTTACCAATTAGACTAAACAAATTTGATACATTTTTTTTAAACTAAAAATATATAGAAACCTAAAATCTTAAAAATATATCTTTCCATTACGGTTAACTAGTCCACTAATTTTAACTACGATTAAAATTTGATATTATATTTCCATTATTTAATTCAATTTTAACATTTTACATCGTAAATCTTCTATCTATCTATCTACAAACTCATTTAAGGAGATTCTGTAACACCTTAGGCAAATCCCACATCGACAAAGCACGGGAGAGATCCATGGTTCATAAGTAGGAAACCGACCTTAACTGACAAGACGCGTTTTGGGGGTGTAATGGAGGAGTTCTTGTGAGAACTCCGAAGTTAAACGTGCTCAGTGTGGAGTACAACAAGGATAGGTGACCTTATGGGAAGTCACCCTGAATTGCATCTCAAGTTGAAATCCGTGCTGGTGTAGAGGCCCAAAGCGGACAATATCTTGTCGGGAAAAGGTTCAGGATGTTACAGATTCCACACGAGAAGGGGGTTAAAACACAATTTGTAGCCTTAAGCGCAACTCAAGGCAGGATACATGTGTCTTTTTACCTTTTAATTTTGCTTTTACACCTCTTCTTTTCTATTCCACCGAGGGCGAAGTAATTTTATTATTGGGTTTGACTTTTATCAGATAATCATGTTTCTATTTTTAGTTTAGGGCTCCAGCATTTTATTTTGTCATTAGTCTATTAAATATATCTACTCTATTTTTATAAAAGGGTAAGCATTAATTATTAGACAAACATTTCCTGCATTCTTTTTTATTAATCAAACTATTGAATTACTAATAATTAGTCAAATGTTAACTTTCAGTTAGCAATTTTATTGGTCTAATTGACTTGGCAACGTAATACTAACTTGAAAGAGAAACACGGAGGTCAATATTCCAAAACTTTAGTATTTTAAATAAGAAAAGAGTTACAAATTATTAACGATAAAGTAAAAATGACTAATATTTTGATGCATTATAAAAGATTTGGCTAATTATTAGTAATTTAATAGGTTTAGTTAATAAAATATAATGCGAGAAAGGCTTGAATAATAATTAGTGTTACCCTTCATAAAAAAATAGATCTCTTCTATTAGTGGAAAAAGGTGACGTCTGGATCAAATAGGTTAACCTTCACCCTAGGTTGGTCGATCGAAACAAACACAAGGTCGACTATTTGATATTCCGTTAAACTTTCATTTACTATAAAAAATACAGGGCCACAAATTTATATTTTTACATGAATGTTTCCTTGAAATGGACGACTTGAGAAGGAATGTGACCGACCATATTTAAACCACACCGATTGATTGTGAAGATAGAAGTATAAAAAATTGGCGGCAAGAGCAAATCTCAGACAATATTCATTACTTGAAAGGGGAAATATCTATTTGCGTAAAAATAAGTTTTGTTTTTGTATAAATATTACCATTAAATTTAGCTTTCAATGAAATTTAATCGAAGAAGGAGGAGAATGTTTAAATGCATGAGAACAATAGTATAATATTGATTGTGGAAATAGAGTTGCTATCAATAAAGATGAAGGCGTTGTTATTGGTAAGGATGATAATGCTAATTATGACGAAGTAATCGCGAAGTCGAAATAAATTCTGCAGTAATTTCTAATCTAAATGTGTTTTGAACACGTTTTTTAGGAGTTGATTCACATGCATGATTTATTTCAACTTTGATAATGATCTTAGTTGATGAATCAGCTAGGATGTCGTAATTTTTTTTATGAACAATACTTTTATTCATTAAGAAAGGATGATGACACTACGGGAAAAATGGCCTCTTGCAACTCCCACAAATGTGTTGCGTTATGTATTAAAAGAGTTGCGAAAACCTATTGCAACACTTTTGGTAGGGTTGCATATAGTGGGGGTTGCAAAAGGAATAGGCAACTGTTTTTTCATTTTTCGCAACCCAAATATAAAGGGTTGCGTATTCTTACCTTTTACGCAACACCACTTTAGGCAACACATTTCACAATTTTTGCAACACATTTTTGTAAAATGGGCAACAGTTTTTTTAACTTTTGGCAACAGTAATATTTGTATCCGTGACGGGTCTAAACCGTCACGAATAACTAACTCATTTGTGACAACATTGTTCGTAACAAAAATAAGAACTTGCGTGACAATCTTATCGTTAATAAAAATTCTTTTTGTGACGAGGCAGTCTAGTCCCAAAAACTACTCTTGTGACATGTCTACTTGTCACGAATAGTTACAATTGAGACCATAATATTGTCACAAATACACATTTTGAAATTCAAGGTAAGATTTAGCGGTTGAGTTGGTGTCATTAAAGTAACTATTTGTGACGTAATTTACCGTCACGTATATCCCTCATGTGTGACAAATTTCGATCGTCACTCACAATATACTTTTGTGATTATCTAACTTTCACAAAAGAATCAATTTATGACAATTTTTGTTATCACAAAATGATGTCAATTGTGACCAATTTTTGTTGCAAATGGATATATTTGGTGACAACTTTACTAATCACTCAAAGCAGCATTAGTGATAAATTGACAGCACGAACTTCACAAATCCCATTCATTGGTGACCAACCTTTCATCGCAAAAGGTTAGCGTTTGTGACAACTTTGCTAGTCACTAATAAAGCAATGGTGATGCATCACTGAGTTATCACGAATGTATTTCTATTTTGACATTAAAATTATCTTTTCAGCCTTCTTTTGTGACAAGAGTTGCTGACACGAGTATACCCCAAAAATGACGATAACGTATGTCCTACATGAGTGCATTTTGTGACAAGATTTTAGGACACATATTGCTACAACACTCTATTCAGTGAGAAGATGTGTCGTCACTTCTATTAATTGCGAGAACATGTTTCGTCACAAATTTAATGGTTTGACGACTAACGAACTTCTTTAGTGACAAGAAATTAAAATACGAATATAGTCATTGGTGTCAAGTTATACGATTATGTGATGATGTACGTTGAAAAAAAATCATATTTTGTGACAAGAATGGTCAACAAAATTTAAAAAAAAAATCAAACTCACTAGATAATAGGGGAAAAAGTCTTAAACTCAAATTTGGCTACTAATAATTCTAAATAGTATTTGAAATCAATCAAAACCACAAATCTAACACTAATGAGAGGTTGTTGATCTTTATAAATCATCCTACTTTTCTCGGACGCAACAGTTGCATCATGTCTTCATCATGTTGCTTTTGCAGGTCAGCAAACCTTTGTTCCCATTTCTTGTTCTGCTCTGCTAGCCGGTCCTCAGACTGTTGGTTTAACTCTGAATAGATCTCATTTTTTATCCCAGCTCTAACTTCTTCCCTAACCACAACAATTTTCTCCCGCCTAACACGTCGAGACGAGGACTTGCCCTTGGCTTTAAGTATTATCTCTTTGTTAGACAAAGAAGTTCCTTGATTGACTATCTCTTTTATTCTTTCCTGTATAAAAAAAAGAAATTATTATATTTTATGATTTCAGAATGAAGTGTATATAAATGTAAGGCATTGAAAAAGTCTATGAAAGTTTACTTACGTAAATTGCTTTTGATGCCTCATCGCACCATATCATCTCTCCTTCTTCATTCTTCTTCATATGTTGAGCACGCCACACTTCATCAACAGACTTCTTAATTCCAGTTTTTGGATCTATCTATGATTTCGATTGCATTATTCAACTTAAAGAGTGTTAACAAAACAAAAAATGTGATATGAGGTAACAAAAATAAAATAAATTTAGAAGTTAAAACTAGAAGATCATTACCATATTATATTCAAATTCATCATGAGATCTTGATCCACACACATTCTTCACTTTCACCTGTGATTTATTCTTCTTATTTCTCACACTCTTTTTCTGTATAGCTCACATTTTAGGATTAATAATAAATTCAAATAAACAAATTCTAAAAGACTTAGGAGGAAAAAAAATTAAGGATTAAAATGTGCACTTACTTTGAAAAGCTCTGATCCCTAATTGACAACAGCTTGCTTCCAATCTTCTTTATCAATGCCGTCAGGAACATAACTTTCCCTTTCATTTTGATCCATATCTTGATATTTCTTGCGTAAGTTGTACAGCGTAGTTGAATATGATTTTTTCATTTTATTAAATATAAAAGATCTTAGCTTCTCACTGCAATTGCTCTTGAATTTCTCCTACAAACAAAGTAACTCAAGAGTTTGCTTTTGGATAAATTTGCGGTTTGCTTTAGTAAAAACATTGCCCCAGCAGATCAGGAGTTTCTGGCCGCGATCCTGGGGGTGGGAGCGGTGGGTGTTCAGGATAAATACTTAGGCCTCCCGACCCTGATTGCCCGGTCAAAGATAGATACCTTCCGCTACTTGGAGGAAAAATTGTTGGCAAAATTACAAGGGTGGAAGCAACGTACATTGTCGTGGGCAGCGAAGGAGACCCTGATCAAATCTGTTGCTCTAGCTTTACCACTGCATGTTATGTCTTGCTTCCGATTACCCCTTTCACTTTGTCGTCTCCTGGATAAACATGTTGCTCGGTTCCGGTGGGGTGTGACGGAGGGGCAATCAAGGATTCATTGGATGTCCTGGAGAAAGATGTGCAGAATCAAGCATGATGGGGGCATGGGGTTCCGTCGCTTTGAGCATTTTAATCAGGCACTGTTAGCTAAAATTGGCTGGTACATTCTTCAGGAACCCCAATCCCTGCTGGCTCAGGTCTATAAAGGTAAATATTTCCCAAGGGGGACCTTTCTCTAGGCCCAAGCACGATCGCGGCCTTCCTGGGGGTGGCAGAGTGTGCTCTACGGGAGACAGCTACTTGAACAAGGCCTTCGGTGGCAAATTGGTAATGGGGAGTCAGCACTGTTGCTGGACTCGAATTGGATTCCTCAGTTGCATCCTGCTAAGCCTGTCTATAACCCACAGGTGCTTCCGGCCGGGAGAGACTTGTTGGTGGCAGAGGTTTTAGCCCAGGATGGGGGAGGGGGGTGGTGTGAAGCCAAGCTGAGTCAATGGTTTGATCCACCAACGTGTCGTTTGATTCGTTCTATCCCTCTGCCTCGGCAGAATTTGGAGGATAAGCTTATCTGGCATCGCACGTCGGATGGTGTGTTTACTGTCAAAACAGCATATCACCTAGCTGTGGACCTGGACAAAAGAAATGGTTGTTGGCAGGCTACGGTCAGTTGGATGGACAGGATCAGCTGGATTTGGCTCTGGGAGGCTGATATTCCCCCTAAATTGAAGGTATTTGTGTGGCAAATCTTTCATCGCCTTCTCCCTACCACAGAGGGCCTCATTGAGAGAGGTGTTCCAGTCCTCCCGCATTGTCCGGTTTGTTGGGAGGCATCGGAGACTATGGAGCATCTTTTCTTGGACTGTCCAGTGGCTAGGGCTCTATGGGACTATTCAGGTTTAGAACATCTTGGGCAGGGCTTGCCTCGCCATACTTTCCCTCTGTTTCTCAAGCGGCTATTTGCATTGCTACATCATCCTCCGATGATCATGGCTGTGGTGGCTGTGCTTTGGAGAATTTGGAAGTCGCGTAATTGGGTTGTCTTTGAAGGCAAGCAGTTTGGCTTCCCTGCCTTAATGCGTCAATTTCATCAACAGTGTGAGGAATGGGAACGGGTGCCAGTGGATAGGGTAGTTCCGGGTCTTCGCCCTTCTCTCCATCCTCCGGGTCTGGCCGGGGGCTTCACGATGGTGTGTATGTGGGATGGGGCGACGAGAGCTGGGTCTCACTCTGCGGGAGGTATGGTGCTTCTTGATTCTCAAAGGGAGGTTCTCCGCGTTCAGGGCATTCAATTTGGATCCATTGATGAACCGTTGGTGGTGGAAGCGCTTGTCCTTCGGGAAGCCCTCTTGTGGTGTCTAGCTAATGGATTCCAGGATGTAAGATTTGAAGGGGATGCCAAGGTCATCATCGACAAAATCAATCAAGCTGCAACCAGAGATAGTAGGATTGGGATGATCTTGGAAGAGATCCGGCAATGTATGCAGAATAATCCTGGGTTTAGTTTGCGATTTGTAGGACGGAGGAACAATAGGGTAGCCCATGTGGTGGCTAGAAAGGCCCTTGCTTTGTATCCGTCTACATGTCGGTTTTTTAATTTTCAGGCCTGGCTGAGTTCCAGGATGTAATGTTATCTTCTCTGAATCAATATATGATTATCTTTTGTCAAAAAAAACAAACAAATTAACTCAAGAGTATAAGATTCTTAAGAATAGTTCAATATGCAAAATATTAACAAAAAATGAAAAGTGTGAAAATGATTTGATCGTACCTCCACTAAGGAGCACAATTTATCACCAATTGTTTCTTCAACCTCATCCCAATTCGTGGCACTCAACTTAGCATGTTTTTTTATTAGAACCCCACAGAAACTAACTAAGTGCCGAGCATTCTTACCAACAGCCTCTGTCCCTGTGTTGGGAAAATAAACCTCTAATTTTTTCCCATCTTGGGTTGCTAGCACAACAGCATTACAGGTTGTGATCCCCCTCTTATTCTTCACTGTAATAGTAAATACGAGACAAAGTTTTAATGGCTTGATTTAATAATAAGAGCATATTATAATATGCTACTCCAAAAGTATTAAGTAGGCTAACTAGAAAACGACGTTTACATCTAGTTACACTATTAACCATCAAACCAGAAATCAACAAACAAAAATGAGAATCATGGAAAACCAGATTTTACAACATCCCAAACCTGATTGACAAATGCAAATAGACTTGATCTACCATAAGACACAACACAACCTTTACGGGAACATCCCAACTAGAAAGAAACACTATAATGACTACAAGAAGCAAACTAAGAAACCCATCTATACAATACCACTTATATCGTTTGCAGAGATTATAGAAGCAACTTTAGGATAACATTGCATGAGTAGCAGGATCATTTCCTGCAATCTCTTCTTCAGAAAGGCTTACACCAGCATAAAGCCTCCTACAATGCTCCCTCCTAATTTCACTAACCAAAGACACTCATAACAACCTCCCCTAACTGTATTTGAACTTCCAGACTTGAATTGGGACATCCCCCCGCGGAAAGTGCTTATTCCCCCTTGAGGGGGGCTGTATTCAATACAAGAGGATCAGACTTGGGGGTCACTATGGCGTGGCTGAATGTAGAGCAGTCCGCCCATACAGCCTTTGGTAGATTATTTAGAACTTCGGAAGATGGTCTTCCTCTATCGCCGGAAGTCAAGTTCTTCTTTTCAGTCTAGTAGCGGGACTATGAATCGATAAACCGAAACTATTGGTTCTTTATACCGAGACTATTGGTGCATGTCGTAAAAACTTTCACTTTATGATTCATGTTTTTATTTGCTTCCAATAATTTAATACTTGAATTCTCTTACGATATAAAAAACACTATTGTTGTTTATATAATTGATCAAATGTATCCGGCCAACGGGCCAGGTTCAATTCTAGTACTACATATTCAAATTCAAATGACATTCCAATCAAGATATCAAAATCAAACTGGTGAAATGTTTAGAGATAACCAAGCCCATGTGAAGAAACGCCCGAGCTCATTCACTTAGGCCCATGTTCAAAGTTGACAAACAAGCCCATTGTACCCTCGACACACTCGACAACAACATCATGCTCTCATTACTGTTGCTATGTCTCGTCCATCGAGTGTCCCTAACTGCTTAGTTACTTATTAGAACTTTTTTATTTTTAATCAAATTTAATTGGGTGTATCTCTTTTTTAGGTTGGAATTCAAAAAAATTTGCACAAAAAAATAGATTAATTAAGTTTTTAATAATGACATTCATTTTGATATATTTTAAAAAAATTGAGACATGTATTATCAATTTATATCATGGTTGTAATGCTTGCTAGTTGGTAGTACATGAGATTATATTGTGATAGCATGGAAGTGTAAGTGTACCATGATGTGTGATTACACCACATTGTAGAGTAATTGTATACATTATAGTAGGAATATAGTAATCATCATTTACCATCGTTTACTACCAGTTACCACCATGTACTAGGATGGTATATGTGATATATTTGGTCTTTGAAGTTTTTTTCAAAAATTTGTATATCACAATGAACTCATTCATTCAGTGAGAAATTACCCAAATCTTAAGTTAAAAACAAATATCGTATAAGGTGGTACCAGTTAATACCAAGGTGGTGCCAGGTAATACCAAGGTGGTAATGAGTGGTACGGAAAAAATTCACAAAAAATATAAAAAAATTATCACAATGAACTCATTACAGTTTTGCAGAAGAAAAAAAAATCAGAGTTAGAACAAAGAAGATACGAGTCGATTAAAAAAATATAAAAAAACATTTTAATCACACTCATCAAATCTGACTCCACTCGAAACCAAGAAGTTATATTAAGAGGTCTTTTGAAAGTTGAGATTTCATATGATATATTCAGGCAATGCATGTAATTAGGAGAATCCGCCGTTTTTTTTTTTGTTGTTGTCATAAAAAGGAACATAAAACATGTATTTGAGCAAAAGATGAGCCCACTAGAATAATTCATTATGGATTATTGTCTATCTCTCATTTTTTTTCTTCCTCATTTATTAAGGGACCACCAAAATCATTCAAGTTTCAAATAATATATTTTTCAAATTCATACATTGACACAATACATCTAATAAGAATATATCAATTGATTAAACACATCAATTTAGAGAATCCTAACTACAGAGCATAAACTCAGTTATGCATAAATGTATAATCAAGAGTCACCCTACCTGCCTATCGATTGTTTTATCTTGGGGAAATCTTGGAGGATAAGATAGAGAGTAGAGGTTGATCGATTCATTGTTCAATTACGAGGGATTGGTCATTGTTGTGATGTTTGATGAGCAGCTGAAGTAGTGGTTAATCGCTTCATCTTTTAGGGTTATTTGATAGTTGTGCATATTAAATAAGCATTTTATATCCTCTTTTAGAACTAAAATACACCACATATAGCTCACCAACTTAAGAATAGACCTGTCATATGCATACAAATTCCCTCTTTTGGGTGCACACAACTTAATGAGCTACACCTCAAGTAGGTATAGATTGACATCCAGCCTCTCCAAACAGGCAGCTTAAATAATACATTACCAACTATAAAATGAAGTAATGAATTCCAATTCCCCTGTTACACCTTTCCTTTCTCTATCACACATGGTCACCAACGAATCCAATCATAATAACTTTTCCATCTAACACCCATGCACTAAAATCATGAGAACTGTAGAACATTTCCTTCATGTATGCAACTTGATCGTATTAGAATGATGCATTTACGTTTCAACACATCAATAGAATGATATTATACTTTATTTATACTTTTAGAAATACATAAGAAAAATAATAATAATAATAAACTGAAATATTGTCCTTCTCTAATATTAAAACCTGAAGCCAAAGTATAAATAATTAAATATATAAGAACTAGAATATATATGCAAAAGAACCTTCCTATCTTAATTCCCAACCTTGATCTTGCAATGACACTGACTGAAGTATGGATTACTCTTTACTCATCGCACCATTAGTAAACAAATCCATATCTGAACTAGAATATATCTGCAAAAGAACCTTCCTAATCCCCAATTCTCAAGTGAGCTCTGTACAAGTAATCCAACCCCAAAGTTCATTAAGTAGCCTTGCAAATATTTATCAATTTCATAGCACCCATTCGAATTCAATTAGCCTGCACATTGGTATGATCCTCTGGTATGATCCTCGCTGGTGCGGTAACTATTTGTTTCAATCCAATTCAAAAAATATTGACAAAATTTATCAATAAGGATATTTAGTGGGTTAAATTTTAAAAAAGGAAGAGAAAGAGTAAGAGAGAGAAAAATCTCTAAAATCAAGATGCATAATTTCTCTAATTAGAAGAGATTTGATATCTCTAGATTTTAGAGATTTAAAATCTCTAAATCTACAATCCACGACACAAAAAGTAGAAAAAAACATAAAATATTGCTAAATCTATGAATTCAATAAATCCATCATTTAAATCTTGTTCTCCAAGTGGAAATACTACATTGGTGTGAGAATGAAACTGTTTACAAGTCTGCTTCTCACTCTACTTTATTATATAATGTGGTTAGTGGATTTTTGAGAAAATTTTGTGCAATATTTAGGGATTTAATTTAAGTAATTTCTAGAATTAAGTTTTGATTGATTAATTTCAGATAATTAATTGATTTTGAGTTTTGTGAATCTAAATAACCTTTCAGTAGGGAATTGTCATTTTTTCACAATATAAGACTTTTGCGCCAGACTTTCATTCTAACATTCATCTTCCTCTTCTCGTTTTCCTTCTCAAAACACAAACACAGAAGTTTGTAAGATTGCTGCTTCTACAATTTGATTGTAGAGACTTCTGAGGGTGATTTGTTCGATCCTACCAGCAACTGTCATTTTTGTCACAATATGCGACTTTGTGTCATATAATTTCATTCTAACATTCATCTTCTTCTCCCCATTGTCCTTCTCAATACACAAACACAGAAGTTGTGAATCAAAATAATCCTTTGATAGGAAACTGCCATTTTTTCACAATATAAGAATTTTGCGCCAGAATTTCATTCTAACATTCATCTTCTTCTTCCCGTTTTCCTTCTCAAAACACAAACATAGAAGTTTGTAAGATACCTGCTTCCAAACTTTGATTGAAGAGACTCTTGAGGATGATTTGTTCGATCCTACCAATAAATTTGCACTTGGAGCAAATAACACTCTAAGAAGAATGATTCATTCACGCCTTTAATCTACTCTGCGAAGAATGATTCATTCCTCGCACTCATTGCTGCTTATGTTCATTCTTAGTATCAATTATACGAAATATTTTTCCCAGGACACCTCAGCTTAAATCCAGTACTAATAAAGTAAGATCACATATCAATGCTAATGCTATGAGGTAACATTGTTTATCTATAGTTACTCGTTTAATTCAATTGAAGTTAAACGAGGACACAAGACTGCTAATACATATTCTCAAATATAAAGTTATAAATTCAAAACCTGCATCTACAGGATCCCGTAATTAATATTGTACTCCCTAATCGACCAAAAAGAATAAATTCTCCTCCTTTTGTCTGCAACCACCGAGCTAATGGAATTTAACATCCGAGCAGAGAGGAGTGCAAACTCTTTCCTACGGAAGGAACGATCGAGCAGGCGTGCAACGGTTCGGTTCGGACCGGACCAAACTCATGAGAACCGTAATTTATTAGTAAAAGATATTTTAGAATCAAGGACCTAACCGGATCATCATTGCGTTATGTCCATTTGGTCCGGTTCGGTTCGGTCCAAATATTAGCTATGTCCATCATTTCTTCAATAATTGTAAAATTCAATGGGACCAAGAAACGGACCATATTATACTCAGGTCCGATACGATCCGGATCAAACTGGACCATTGCACACCCCGAACAATCAACAAAAGAAAAAAGATCCAAGCCTGGGCCCATTAAATTATTGCCTATTTGGGCCTGTATTATTATCCATCAATTATGAACACTACCTGCCAATTCCACGGCCCACCGGTGAAAATGGCGGCCCCACACTTACCCGGATGAAAATAAACCCCGCCCTCTGCCGTCATACAGTGGGGACTCGTGACTGTACTGTTGAGTTGACTCTAAGGCAATGGCAATTTTTTTTTTATTAGTCAGATCATCCCACACACATCGTTTAAACGATAGATAGTAAAGCGAGATCAAATTTGGCGTTCACTTGTTTAAATATACTGGATCCTCCCCTAAGATTTCCATTAAATATCTCTGAAAATACCATAGCAAACCTCAATGAGATTAAACAATGGATTTGCCACTTCCCCAAAACGAGTCGTTATAAAGAATTTAAAATGAATAACCATATATAGGGATGGTAACAAAACCCAAACCCACGGGTACCCATCCGACCCGACCCAACCCGGTCAACGCGGGTAAAATTCGTGTTGACGGGTTTTGAGTCGGATTTGGGTTTAAACTCGTTCACTATTCACCGGGTTGAGTTAGGTTTGGGTTTAGGTAAACCCGACCTATGTGTATCCGCCCACACTCATATAGTTAATTTTCTCAGTATATCTAATATTCTAAACAACTAATCTTATTTATGTTTGTGGAGACATGTCTAATTTTTTCTTTCTAATTGTGTAGAATGAAGTTGATGTCATCGAGTGGAGAGTGAAGAAACTTAATTGAAAAGAAAAAGTTTTCAATTAATCATGTTATTTATGAATAATTTGTGATTTGTTTCAATTTTATTGAGTTTTCTAGATTGGTGTTGAACAATTTGTATAGTTAATTTGTGATTTGCTTGAATTTTCTATAATGGTGTTTTATATATGGATAATTTATATTGAGAGATTGATATTTGACTTTAATTTTGATAGAAATTTGTTATTGTAAATTTTTTACGACAAAAACCCGTGGGTACCCATGAACTCACGGATACCCAGCGGGTTGGGTTGGGTTTGAGTTTTTCAAACTCAATGGGTTTTACCTCGGTTTTTTTCACGGATAAACCCATGGATTTGGGTTTGGCAAAACCCAACCCAACCCAACACAACCCATTGCCATCCCTACTCATATAGTCATCTTCGTCTCCAAAAATTAATTAAATTAAAAATAAAGTTAATAACAATAAAGATTTCACATCTTTGAATTTTATGATTTTATCAGTGATTCAGTGTGCTTGAATTAAAATAAGCTGATTATCCCTATTAATTAGTAGGAAAAGAATCCGATTGGGAAGCTTCTTTTTATATACTGATCAGCGACAACAACCGCTTTTCCTTTTTCCCTATTGCGCTTTCCCTTTTTCTCCCCCACTCAACTTTTCTTCCCTGATCTTTCTCCGGCTAATCAGTGTGCCTGGTGAAAGAAGGGGGGAAAAATTCTGCGTTCTTTGTTTTCATTTCCCCCACACGGTAGCAACTGCCCTGGTCGAGGAGAAATGGGGAGTGTTTCGTCGGAGGACGATGGCGAGAGGTTCGAGCTCGACGGGTACAGCTTGAGCGCCGACGTCAGCGAGTCGGAGAGCAGTTCTAGCTGCGTCTCGTCGTCTTCGTTCCGGCATTTCGACGGCGGTGACTGCGGTGGAGGAGGTGGAAGAGATTCCACTTCTCTCCTCACGTCGACTTGTTCGCTCGCTCCACCATTCCGTGACGCGCCTGAGTTGGACGACGAGGTGTACGCCCCGCCGGTTACTCTGATGCCGCCGGTGATCGACGGGAGGCACGTGTTGATTCCGACGAAGAAGGCAGAGAAACCGGAGTCGGAATTGTCCGGTTAGTCTTCTTCCCTGAGTTCTCTGTTTTTGGCGCCGGTTTTTGGAGGGAGACCTAACGGCTTAGCTTCTTTTGGGTTTTTTCGTTCGGTACATTGTGAGAATTGTGAATTCTTTTTCTGGTTAGAAAACCTCTTAGCGTGGACTATGTGTGATCATTGAGCTAGGCGTTACTAAGTCTTCATTTTCCTTTGATTAGCTCCTGGTTGGTCTCTCAGGAATTTAAGCGAACAGGTGGAGGACAATTATTTTGCGCTAACGACTGTACTTAGTGTAGATTGTTCGTGGTTGAACTAGAAACCTTTTAGTCTGCTCTCATGATGCTGTTATGAATTCTGCTTTCGCAGAAACTGAACTAATGAAAGAGAGATTCGCCAAGCTTCTGCTTGGAGAAGACATGTCAGGTGGAGGAAATGGAGTTTCCACTGCTCTGGCAATATCCAATGCCATAACTAATCTCTCTGGTTCGTCCCTTGTTTGAAAGGTTATTGATATCTGTTCACTTTTGTTGTTGGGTAGCCAGGATTTTAAGTTGATTTTTTTTATGTTGCCTTAAGTTCTGCAGCTTCTGTATTTAGCCAACTGTGGAAGTTGCAACCATTATCACCTCAAAAGAAGGCAATCTGGTACCGAGAGATGGAGTGGTTTTTATGTATAAGCGATTCCATTGTAGAGCTAGTTCCATCGGTCCAGAACTTCCCTGGTGGGGGAACCTTCGAGATCATGGTACCACAGCCACGGTCAGACCTTTTTGTCAATGTCCCAGCTCTAAAGAAGATCGATGCCATGCTGCTCAATATTCTAGATGGGTTCTCTAATTCAGAATTCTGTTACGTGGAGCGTGGAATTGTAGTCTCTGGAGATGATGACACCAAGAACTTCATGTTGTCCTTGACTTCTGGGTCTGAGACATCGTCGGTGAGGCTTGAAGAGAAATGGTGGCTGCCGTTTCCTAAAGTTCCTCAAAAGGGATTGTCTGAGAATGCAAGGAAGAAGTTGCAGCAGTGTAGGGAATGCACTAATCAGATTCTTAAAGCTGCCATGGCTATTAACAGCAATGTGCTTGCTGAGATGGAAATCCCAGATACTTACTTGGACAGCCTGCCCAAGGTAATAATTCAAAACTCTGTCTCTTCCATATATATTAGTGGTTACATTTCGTTGTCATTGATTCTTTGGTGGTGTGTGGTTGATTATTGAAATAAAATATGTTTTGGGATACGATAGATGGTGAATGTTGAAATGAATATGATAGTTTCTCCTAATAATGCTTAAAGTACTAATATTCTAATCAGTCTTTCGTAATAAGGGCAAATTGACTATTGAAATTAATCAAGGACAAGATGATCTTAAAGACTAATGGATTTGAAAGTATCACTTCCCATCCACTACATTTATAAATCCATCAACGATTACACTTTGAATTCATCCAACCTAGTAATGAATGCACTGTGCCACAATCAATTTGCTGATGGAACCAGGCAATAGTTCATTCGCCAAATGACCCCTAAACCATGTTTCTATCCTCTTCAATCTATGTAATCTTACTTTCAAGTTCTTGCCTTTCTGATTGTATCCTTATTCCTTCATCTTTTTTCAGAGCGCGAAATCTTGTTTAGGAGAGACGTTACATGGTTACCTAGCTGCTGACAAATTCTCTCCTGATGGCTTCATGGATCGCTTAGATTCATCCTCTGAATTCACCAGTCTGGAAGTAGCTAACCAGATTGAAGCTGCTGCTCATATATGGAACCAGAAATACATCAGAAAGTACATGGCTGGCGGAGGGAGGTCGACAACATCATCGTCATCATGGGGTGGCAAAAAACTTAAAAGCTCAGCTGCCGAGATTCCCAAATGCAAGATTCTGGCAAAAAGAGCCGAGAATGTCTTGCACAGTTTACGCATTCGGTTCCCTGGCCTCCCACAGACCTCCTTAGACATGAGCAAGATTCAACATAACAGGGTATGTGATATTTTACCATTCAATAAATCATCGTGCTCTTGTGCTTTTTCATTACTAGTAGTAAAACATTGAATATTTGTTCGGTTGAATAAAACTTGGAATACTTTGGAGTTTGGGTAGTGGGTTAGGTTTGGAATTCATTACTATCCTACTACCTGAAAATTGCTGCCTGATACCTAACCGATCGTGGCTACAAATTTGATTTACTTTCCGAATCCTGTGCCAGTATAAGTAAGATAAACCCAAACCATTGAAGATAAGAGAGTTAAGCATGCCTGGCCACTACTTGCCGCCCACAAAAGCTCACCCACATTTTTTTTTTTTTTTGCAGGATGTAGGGCGTGCCATCATCGAGAGCTACTCGAGGGTAATGGAGAGCCTAGCATTCAACATCGTGGCGAGAATCGAAGACCTCCTATATGTCGACGACGCCACAAAGCAACGTGCAGCAGCAGAGTCTCTGTACACAGCACAAGGCAGGCTGAGTTGTTCATTTGCCAAACAAAGGTGGATATCCCCCACAGCTCCTTTCTCTTTCGACCATTCCGGTGAGTTAGTCAGTTATCATCATGACAGCAGAACCATTCCGCAGTCTCCAAGGAATAGCCATAGTAGGGAAAGGGAGCCTCTAGATCAAGCTCTAGAGAAGCTGACTTTCTAATGCCCTACTACCCCATAACAGTTTCTTCCTTCCTTTCCCAACTCCCATTCCCTCGAGCACATGGGTAGATTGACAGAGTTCATAGATCTGTACATATGAACGATTGACGTTTTTAGCAGTTGAAAAATTGGGAGTCGGTTGGTTATTTAGGGGCAGGGAGGCATCGCAGTGGCGTGATATGCAATATGGGCTATAACTAGTTTGGGAAGTCGTACGTTGTATTTATAGGAATAGGTAGTCGATTGAGGGTCTGTCTTCATTCTAATTGCTAGAGTTGATTAGCTGTGTGGGTTCGTTCTAGATTCGTAGGAGCTGAAAGCTACTGAAGTTGTAATGACCATAGAGATGGGTGAGCGTCAAGTTTCTCTCTTTGTCGCTGTACCTATCAGCAGTAGAAAGCAGTGGACCACCAGAATAAGTATCCCGGATTCCAAACAGATGTATGCAGATTGCAGAGGAAGAGAGCTGTAAAATTGAGAATATTTATGGTTGTTAAGTTTTCAGTAAATCAGGGGTGAAGTTTGCTTAGCTGTAAAATTAATTGCTTGAATGAATTTCGTGTTCTACGAGTTTGGTGGTCACATGAAGGCCAGTGCTGGTTATGGCTCAGTTCTATCTAGAATCGGAATGAATTAGTAAAAAAAACAACTTAAATTGTTTTTGGTTCGATTTAAGGTGGCAATAAAGAGAAGAATGATGTGAATTGGATGAAAAGTGTATTTGTTTCTGTTGACGTTGAGTTAAAATAGCGACCTCGAGCGTTGTAGAGTCCGGAGAGCGTTGACCTTTTGATTTCCGTTGAACTCCAGCTCTCGAGATGAACACCTGCAAAAATGGACCCGCCGGTTGTGGTCGGCTGGGACCTTCTCCAAAACTCAAATCAGTAAGCGGCATATTGAACCGGCTCTAGGGAGAAGAAAAAGAAATTTTGGGGTTGGAAGTTGCCAATTCGCCGAGAAGAAGTTCGTTGGGAATTCCCCTTTTCCGATCTCGTTCAGAGAAAGTGAGTTCTCTAGATTTGAGATGGATTGCCGAGAAAACATAAATGAGCTACCTATTTATAGGCGTCTCCTACTTCTGGCGTGGGTGGCGTGACTTGACCAACTAATTAAAAACTTTTCTTTGTTGGATGTCAACGTACACACCAACAGTATACTCACCTTATATGTAAAATGAAAAGAATTATACTTTACCTGCCATTGGCCATACGTGTAGCATGCTTTGGATGGAAGAATAATACAAATCAATAGTGTAATGGTTGTTTCGAGGAAATGAACTTTTTCCACCTGGTTATTTATTATGTGTAAGTAAAGTGAGGTGGGTTGCATGATATTGCTTTGCTACTTACCACCTCATTTAGTTTGGTTGGTGGGATGAAAATGCTAGCTTGGCTATATTTCCTATTCCTAGTCTACGAGTGGAAGATGAAGTGAGATGGAGCTACGCCATGAAGTGATAAAGTGGGGGAACTATTTGTCCCAAATGGTTGTTCATGCACTCCGTAGAAAGATGGTAAGTATATCTACAATCTCTCCCGCTCTCCACGTGTAGTAAATTTGGTTTCCATAAACCATCCACCACTAATTAAGCTAGATAGCTCTTACACATGGAAAGGGGGAAGTGATGAGGTGTCAATTTTAGGGAGCTTGTGTATATAGATTGGTTGATGGTAATTATCAAATCATCTTCACTTAGCCATGAAGGGAAGTGGTAAATTTGCCACTTGTAGCCACGTGGTGAGAATTGGGCTTACTTGTTTGATGGGAGGTTAGAGTAGTAAGAGATAGGGGGTGGTTGTAAGAATGGATCCACCAGTTTCGATTTTGGTTCAATTTTAAATGAGGTGAAGTATTTGTGGCCCTTTAAGGAGATAGAATGATCGAAATAAAATACGTATAATCATTCCTAAAGTTGATTCGTTAAAAGTCGGGTAACATTAGCAACCCTAACATACCCATTAGTGGTATAATCATTCCTAAAGTTGATTCGTTAAAAGTCGGGTAACATTAGCAACCCTAACATACCCATTAGTGGTAGGCAGGTAGTGCACTCGAATCGAATCGTCGACACAAACAACATTGCATGTAAATTAGATCACATCGCATGTGTGACGACAATTTGACAGGTACTTTCAAACAGAACCACATAAGTAAGCATTTAAATGCACCGCATGTTTGAATGCAATGACTTCATTTTCGAAAGCAGCGAATTGTCCCAGTGACGACTTTGATTCAAGCTCTTAGAGATATTGTGGAACCTTACTACTCCTCTCATTCTCACCTTCACTATTTAGAAAGGTACATTCCATCACAATCTTGAGAAACATATTAGATCAAAGAGACGACTTTTAGAATTGTTATTGAAAAACTACTACCCTCAGAGTTAGAGAGAAACAGATTAGATCAAAACTCGATGAGTCTAAATCGATGAAAACGAAGGACAGAAGGTGCGGGGTTGGAGATGATTCTTATTTGAATTTGGATGGGCCTCAAGTCCTTCGGTCCACTTGATTACAGATCACTCTACTTAAGTAATCTGATTGGGTCGAGCCCTAATTGCTTTCAAACCATTTTTCCCGCTCTTGAGTTGTCCTCACAAGTGAAGCTAAACAGAAACATGCAGAAAGCAGAGTGTGTAGCTTAAAGGAACATAATAGTGAGAGGGATGACACAATATTTTTTTGTTAACCGAGTTTAGCCTATCACTTACGTCTGGGTTCAAAGGTGGTTGCCCTCTGGGACCTAGTTTTCATAGGGTTTCAGAGACTAACCACAAGTGAAGTGGATCTCAAACCTTTATACAATTTGCAGAACTGAAATCAACCAAGCTTTCTTTACACACCAATAGCTAAAGAAGGCTTCTACCTACTACTTCCACTCAAGCAATCCGAGAGAGCTAAACCTCGACTTCTTACAATTGCTAATTAGTAATCACATAGTTTTAGTAGCTATTTGATCTCAACCACAATTCACACCCAACTCTTCTTCTTCACCATCTTTTATAGTTTACTAGAGATGGAACACGAAGAGCATGAAGGATTAGCTTACCTTGACAAAACCAATGATGATAGGCCGGATTGGGAGCAACAGCGACATCAACAGTGATGGTCTTGACAGATGCAGTTCCTGTGCCATCGATGTATGAATAGAGATCGAAACCATGGGCAGAGTCTCCAGTTGTGAACGCCATGAATTAAAATTTAGAGAGATGAGCTTCAGAGGAAGCTGAGTTGCAAGATTGAAGGTTATGATGGTCTTCTCCATAGAGGTGGAGCCAAAGCTTGAGCTCGAGGTGACCGTAGCAGATTTGTCAGCCATGAGGACAAGGAAACATGGATGCATGATATAACCCGGAGAATTAGGTTCTATCTAGGGATTTGGATTGGTGAGAGATCAACTAGGGATTGATCCCGGGATGAACAGAAGAAGAGGAAGAAGGAGGATTTGGATTGGGCGAATGGAAGAAGGAGGGAAAAGGGAGGTCTGCCGCGCGACTGCCTTGGGGAAGAGAAAGGGAATCTCGGTAGAGGGGGAAAGGTTGAGAGAAAGTTTGTTGACAATTAGGATATAGGTTTATGCTTTCTTAGTGGCCTAATCCCACGTACAAGTAGTTTATATAAAAAATGGATAATTTCCTACTGCTACCCGACTTATAAAATATTCTCCATTTCCCGAAATAGTCCCAATAATATGAAATAGCGATAAATCGACAATTAATCAAAGTACTAAAATGCAAGTTTCTATCATCCCCGCTTCCTTCGAAAAACAACCTTGTCCCCAAGGTTGTTCCTCTAGCTCACTGGGTCTCCTCCTCGCCATTTCTGACATCCTCGGCCGTGTCTTCTGCTTCGTCTTCCCAGCGTCCGACTAGCATCATCAGGTCCGGCTTCGGGCATTGATACCAATGGTGAACCGACCATCACAATTGAAGCACTTGCTCTCTCGCCTCTTTTGCTCGATCTCGGCCGAGGAGAGTCGCACGAACCCCTTTGGTATGGGGCCACGACCCCACCATAGCCACCGGTGCCGTGCTTCCACTCCCGGCGTTAGCTCCATATGCATTTCCCGCCGGCGATCCTCCACCGCTGCCACCGGTCCCACTGCTTCCTCCCCCTCCACTTGGCCTTGGGTATCGGCCAATGGTACTCCTCCAGCTGGCAAGTTCTTCCTCTTTATGACCTGCAAGACGAAAAGCAGCTTTCAAACAATCCAGCTCAAATAGTCTGACCGCCGCTGCTATCTCGGGTTTGAGGCCTGCCATGCATATTCCAACCAATGTGTCCTCCGGAACTCCCCTACACTGGTTACCCAGTTTGAAGAACTCTGCGTGGTAATCGGCCACAGTGCCGATCTGTTTCAGCTTCGTCAGCTGCTCAGGTGCCCACCCTTCCGATTTTCCAAACTTGTAGCGGAGCTCCTCCTGAAATATGGGTAAGGTGATCAAGGTCTCAGCAAGCACATAGGATCTTTCCATCCACTCCCACCACTGGAGCGCGTAACCCCTCCAAATAAAAGGACGCCAGGTAGGCCTTCCTCTCCTCCGGAATCAGGTGGTTTTTAAACCACCTCTTAGCTGCATACAACCAAAGACCCGCATCCTCTTGCCCATTGAATTTTGGAAACTCAATGGTAGGAGGGTTGGCTCGAAAAACTATTACATCAGTTGCTTCATAGTTATGACAATAAGACCCATACCTCTCATTACCCGGTGTCCCCCACGGCTGCCAATGCGAGATCCCCTGCCCACGACTCGGATTCCCTGGCCTATAGTCACCCGGGTAGCCGCATGGTTGGCCCCGATACCCTCCAGGAGCATGGGGTGCCCCATACGGACCTTCCCAGCCTGATGGTCCCCTGCTGTACACCCTTCCTGGCTGTTGATTGGAAGGGCTCGGTTGGTGTCCGGTTCAACCCACCTCGGGCCGGCCCATACTGGCCCAACCAGGTCCAGTCCGGCTCAACTTGGTTCCACCCGTGCCGGCCCACCTGGTCTTGGTTCAACCACCTTCAATCCGCCCCGTACCGGTCCAGCCCTCGGTTCGACCCTCGTCGGTCCGCCCCATACCGGCCCAGCCGGGTTTGGTCCGAACCGCATCGGCCAAACCGGTCACGGTCCGCCCAGCAGGAGCAGACCCCATCCGCCTAGCCTGGTCGGCTGTCTTACCTGTCTCGGGGCCCCTCTGGTCCACAACCGGTTCGGCCCATTGCGGCTGTCGATCCACCAGACTGAGCTAGTCATCTTCGGACTCATCATCCAGGCCCATCCACCCAAGCCCATTGGCGCATCTCGCGAAATGGCCCACCATCTCTGACCCAACATTCAATAGAGGCCCTTCCGCGTCATAGCCTGGCATCTTGCCCTTACCCTTGCGGGCCGCAATTTCCTGGGCCGTAGGTGTAGGCAAGAGACCCGAGCCCGCGCCCAACCCTAGCGGCACTGGGCCAGTTCCTGTTCCGCCACCAGTCGCGCCCCGCCCGGGCTCGGCGTCCGCCTTATGGGCCTCGCCCGCCGCGGCCCTTGCCGCCTCCGTCAACGCCTTCGCCGCCGATCCCTCACCGTCGGCCGAGC